TGTAGAAACATGGTGGTTCAACATGGTGGACTCCAGGCAGCCTGCAGCATCTGTAGATATAAATTCATTCTATTATATTACATTTTTCCTCATAGATCCTCTTAAATGTTACACACTGGACCTTTAAGTCACCTTTTAACCAAAAATGCAGAGCTTCTGAAATGTGAGGATTTGCTGCTTTTTGTCGTCTCATGTGAACTGAATATATTTGGGTTTTGGACATTTGAAGCCACCTTGGGCTTTAGGAAACCTTTTTTTCTGAAGATTTTCTGACATTTTATTGACCAAAATCATGTCGTCATCAATGAATCAAGAAAGCAATCAGCAGATTAGTTGAAATTAATCCTTATTTGCGGCCCTATATTGGAATACTGGTATTACCATCTGATATAATAGAGGCCTGTCCAGGGTTTAACCCAGAAAATTGTGTAGCCGAGGCAGCGAGCCACCCATATCTTTACGCATCTCGTCTTGAGATCCATTTAGTTATCAGATGACTGCCCGCACAGTAGTCACATACACTAAATATACACCATTTGCTCTGTGAAATTCTGTTCTCTCATAAAGATTTATGTTTTATCTTCTAAAAGTAGTAAAGTATCTCTTTGTTTAAAAGTGAAGTAGCTCACCGCCTCTATAAAACACATAACAATACATCTTGTCTAAGTATTAAGTTCCCAAATGTGTTGAAATAAAGTTACTGAGTAATATTCCTAAGATTGGCATTTGTAAATGTAAATAAACCTCCTGAGATCACACCATGACATTAAAGCAGCAGTCCAGAGCTCGATGATTGTGAGTGAAGATTTAGGCCGATCGCACAATCAGCCAAAGTCTTTTATACACAGGTCACTAGCCTTGCCATCTCTGATGAGCTCTACCGAAACATTAAAAAACGATTGCTCCACATTGCCAGTCTGTAAGCAAACGTCTGCAAATGACTCCTTGGATGTGGGTTTTTGTGTCACTCGCTGACTTCTCTTTGGTAAATGTGACCGTGCAACTCTGCTGGTGGTTTTGTTATCAGTTTCTGGAAGGCGTGCACAGAGGAAGGGATTCAGTGAAGGAAACATCTTTGTCATCATATCCATTAGATGAGCCAGACTCATTGTAGTTTAAGTGTTTCCTGCCCTGCAGTGCTGTCTCCTGTGTTGCAGGGGATGACTCAGTAAATTGAATCTGAGAGAGGGAACAAAACCCTAAAACTCAAAGCAGTCGATCACTAAGGATGTTAAAATGAAAGTGAAGAATACGAATAAGTATATTCCAAATAAGTGACTCATCCAGTGATTGCACCATCAGCATTAATCTCCCAACAGCTGGAGCATTTTTATGTTTAACAGAGATTTTGGAAATATCCAGAGCTCCGTCTTTCTGATCAAAGCTTTACTTCTCTGTTACCCAACGCTGTGTTGTTCCAGGGCAGAGATCAGATGCCCATAATAAACACAAAACCATCGCCCTTTCCCTTGTCAGGCTTCCTGCTTCCCTTAATCTGATTGGCTCCTCTTGACGTCAGTGTGCCAGGGACACTTACGAGCCCTTTACAGCTGATAGACTGAGTTCTTGCACTCTTACAGTACTAGTATTGTATGATTTGATTGTTATGATAACAAGTAGAGCTGGTACAATCTGTGTAGTTTTGGATATTTCAACTATAGCTTAGGTTTTTTTAGATAAATTCAGGTACCAGTTCAAATAAAATGACCTAACCTAATTTTTATATTCTGCAACCGTAATCTGTATGAAATTATCAGCTATTCAGTTCTTCCTGCTTCAAACTCAACCCATTTATTACCAGTCCCACATTCACCCTGATTTCCTTTGGTGGGGCCACTGGTGAGAGTCACTGCTCAGCTTAATGTTACGTAAGGCTGCAGCGATTATTTTCATTATCGATAAATCTGCTGATTACTTTTTCGCAATCGGGCCACAAAATGTTAGAAACAAGGGGAAAAAATGTGCAGAAGAATCAACATGTTTCTTGAAGCTTAAGGTGGCATCTTCAAATTGGTTATTTTGTACAATCAACAGTCCAAAACCCAAAACCCAACGATATTTCGTTTATAAGACAAAAAATCCTCACATTTTAGAATCTGAACTAGCAAATGTTTGACATTTTTGTTTGAAAAACTCAGATCCATTGATACATGTACCGGTCTGATGCCAGTGCTCTCTTTCTCTGCCATTTAATATCTGTGTACCTCACTGCAAAGAACTTATTGTAATCATTTATGTGAGTTAACATGAGGTCAGGGATTACTGTGGCATGGGACTTGGCAACCGCTGACATTGAATGAATGTGACGGATAGGGGAAACACTGAATTTTAAAAAGACAGACACAAAGAAATTTGCACTTTCTTTGGACACTGATACCAATCGGATTGGTGCGTCCTAGTCAGGCTTGGTACCTTTGAGATGCCCCTCAACTTTATTTGCCCCAATACTTTCTTATTCTGTGTTGTCACTGCTATGATGCTGCACCAAAACAGATTTGGTATTTAGGTTCAGGCAGGAATTAAATATTTTGGTTAAAAGGCTATGATACTGTAAGACAACTAACTGACTGGAGCTTATGAATATATTATAGTTTATTCTTGCAACATATTGGTGAATTAATTCCCACTGACACCTAATGCACCGGAATTGCAATTTATAACTACTTAAATAATGCTTTATTCTTGTTAATCCTATAATGTCTACAATAAACAGCCCAAACTTAAAGGCAGTGTTGTACAATGTGTCCGTTTTATGTTTGTTTTCTGTGAAACAATCCCTGGTCACTGATAGTCAGTGTGGAGGTCAGAAGAACCAAAACACTCTTATTAGATTATTAGATTAGATTAGAGTGCAAACCAACCAACACAGCAGTGCTGGGAGGACTGTGTTGTCTCTGCGTGCTGGTGTGAAAGTCATCACAGCCAGTCACATGTTTAAGTGTTTAATGGGATTGGACGTGAAGGCTTGTGTCTTTGTTCGTTGTTTGTTTGTTTGTTTGTTTGTTTGTTGGTTTAGACCTATGACAGTTTAATCGATGACATTTGCCACTGAGAAAGTGTGTGGTACACTTGAATCGCAATGTAGTTTTAATTTGTTTTTTTAATAAAATTTAAGATATATTTTCTGTAATACATGTTTCCTAAGTTCCAGAAAAGTCCATCATTTTCTTCAAGTAATAGTGTGTTTCACCAGTCGCCTTTCAATGGCATCATATCCCCTTTGTGCACGTGTCAGTGTTGTGGTTGTCTGTCAGAAGCTGTCATAAATGGGCTTTTTATCCAGTTTCAAACCACACTTTTACAACACGCCTTTTTGATCTTGATCCTTTTTAACTATAGATTTTAACCGGATGAAGGACACAAGCTGTGCAAATGTTAGCAGCCGCTCGGCTCACAGCCCCTCAAAGGCATCCTTTGTTTGCCAGACAGCATCAGAATAACACTGATATTGAAGGTACTAGTTTTAATCACTGGTTGGTTCTGGAGAGGAGGAAACCTCTGCAAATAATTGGGCTCCTGGTAAAAAAGTCTTGAACGATGAACACTGAAGGAATCCTAACCGAGAGAAGCTGACTGCAATGACGGCAGTAGTGGTGAAGACAACAACTCCCGCAATTGCACACTACTTCACAACATCATCAAAGTCAAAGCAAAAAATTACATTTTGTACATTTAACTAGTATTGGCTGTAATTATATTATGAGATGTAAACAATACAGAACTGCAGATGTCCACAACATGGCTGCTGAGAGCACGTACAGTAATTATAACATGCAGTAAAGTACCATTGCCGTTAAATCAAACCACACACTACACGATGAGAGTAAAACTATATTTACGTTTACAGCGAATAAAGCACTCGTGAAATAGCACATCGCAAACATGAGCTCCATTAAACTAAAGACCCTGACAGATTGTCCTCATATACCAGCTTTTTCATTGTCTCTGCAGGGTCAGACCTCCAAGTGTGCCTACAGGGTGCATCGGCTTAAAGTCTATGTTTTCCAAACATACTGTCTTGTGGAGGATCCTCCATTAAGCCTTCTTATTGGAGAGGACAGTTGTGTCTTTCCCCTGCAGAGCTTGCAGAGTCTGACAGCCCTGCCCTGACTGTCAGCAAGATCTCTGCTGATCAATCTGACCTTGTGTCTGAAAGAATAGGAACAAAGGCTCTCCCTGCACCCCTTCCTCTTGATTTCCCCCTCACACACACACACACACACACACACACACACATTGGATCAGGTGGATAATAAATATCTAATTATTAGTAACTAGGATTAGAGAGCAGCTCCCCCTCCCCTCCAATTCTTCACGCCACTCATGCATACACACCCACACCCACACCTCCTGATGTCAGGGACCATAAAATGATCCAATGAACAGGCCGTGGTGAGGAGGAGATGGGACAGCAACCCAGCCCCCACCTCCGGCCATGCTGGCATCCCCCATCACCATCTCCACGGCAACCGGGGAGGATGAGAGGGCATTCTGGGACAGCTGAGGCTCTTCAGCCTGGCAGTGGCAGGGTAAAGAGAGACGTGTTTGCAAATCTGCATGGGGGAGACATGCAAGATTTGCTTTTTTTTTTTTAAGAGGAACAAATGAGACAGATCAAGGCAGAAGTGGAAGGATGTACAATGAGGAATTTCTCACGTGATCTGAGATTCTCATGCCCATATGGCGGCGCCACACAGCAGCAGAGAGTGAGATAGATACTGTAGGTAGACTGTGCCAAACAAGCAGTCTGTTGTGAAAGACAGTTAAGGTTGGTGTGTGTGTGTGTGTGTGTGTGTGTGTGTGTGTGTGTGTGTCTATTTTCCACTAATGGATTTTATTTTGCCAGTTCATCTCAGTCAGCTGGCTTCTAACGTGAAACAAAATGAGAGATGAGGCCATTGTTGAGTGGTTAAATATTGATCTATGTATCATTTTCCCCTCTCATTAAATACGGGAATTTTAAAGCCTAATTTCTAATTTTCTTAGGTTTTAATGTTGAGGCTTGTGACAGAGCTTTATAACAGCAACACGAGCAGTAGTAAGACAATCAGACAATCAGCCCAGTTTTTTGAAACCACTTATTTTGATTTTTGATTTTTTTTTTGCAACCAATGATGAATGTCTACAAAATAACCATTATGCATTATAAAACTGTGTGTGCAGTTTTTATGGTGGGTCAGAGTAGCACCAGAAAGTAGCTTGCTCTATTGTCAGATAGTGATAGTAGCTTTCTTGCCAAGAGTTAGATGAGAAGAACGATACCACTTTCGTGTCTTTGCATTAACTATAACTATAGCTATTAGCCTAGTTTAGCATAAAGACTTGAAGAAGGGGAAACCGGTAGCCTGGCTCTGACCAAAGGCACCTCTAAACTCGTTATTTAACACGTTATATATCTTGTTTGTTTACTCCGTACAAAAACTGAAGTGTATAAATGACAATTTGTGACTATTTCTTGAACCCTAATATGCTTCTAGCTGTAGCTTCGTCACGTATAGCATCAACTCTTGGTAAGAAAGAGAATAAGTTGTATTTTGATAAATGTGTAACTATTGTTTTAAGCTATGTTCCCTGTATCACCACAGCTGATCTGGATGGTGAAATGTAATCAATACAGATTGTTATAATGGACAAAACAGCTAATATAAGACAAATCTTTCTTTAAAAGAGATATTTTTCTTAAAACAATTCAGTTTGGTAACATTCAAGAATTAATCTTGAACCCCATTTTAATTCCAGTCACTCACTTCCTTTCCTTTTCATCATATATAACCATAACAGTTGCTAACTCTATCAGACAACAGTTTCCCTGTTTCCTGAATCTACCCAGAAAGTGCTGGAAGCTACATTTCATGAGTGATTCAGGCCTTAACTCTGGATTAACATGTCCAAGACCTATAAAAATAGCTGCCCCATGAGCAGGAAAACACTAGGCTGGCTGGGACAACACCATCCGCTTAAGTATCCCCACTAAGTCCTGTTAGCTCATTGGCTTAAAGCCTCTGGTCCACCTATTGGTATTCAGGGTTGCTACCTGGCATACTGTTTAACCATTGACTTTGTCTCAGTGCTCTCTTCCAGCACTGGTTTCTTCTTAGACAGTCTAATACCTTGAACGTCTGTGTCTTGGGTTCTTCTCTGTTACGTAACGTGGTGAGGCATTGGTGGACACGTGTCTGCACAAAAATAGTGTGTAAGCATGGTGTGATTTGTGACTTAATAAAAAAAAAACCACACTAGCTAACCCCGTCTCATAAAGTACACATTAATTTAATAATACATATATGCTTGTCATTCTCTTACAGATCACATCCCTGCAGACCTGCGGGACCCCTTTTATACCGACCAGTATGAGCAGGAACACATCAAGCCCCCCATCATCCGCCTGCTGCTGTCTGGAGAGCTTTACTGCCGGGTGTGTGGGCTCATCCTGCACGCTGAGCAGGCCGCCTCACTCCAAAGCCATCAGTCTGTTATCCAGGCCCTGTCCAGGAAAGGCATCTATGTCCTGCAGAAAGACAACATGCCTGTCTCTGATATGGACCTCAGCTCGGCTCCCATCAAGATGGTGGGTAGCTTAACCTTATGTCTAGTTTAGATATTCACAGATATTATAGACTTTTACTCAAGCCCATCTTAATGTATTCTGAAACCTGTAATCTGCGTATTAACTGTATTTGTCCTGTGTGCACATAGATTCATGCAGATTTATACTGTCTGCATTTTAGGAGTCTTGTGTGCTTCAAGTGGTCACTCAAATGATAAGCATCAGTGATTGAAATCATTCTCACTAGATCAACTCATTGAAGTCACAGCTTTTCTTTTTAAAATCCTTTGGCATTCCTTTATTTGGCATTTCCTTCCTTGCTATCGTTAATTGCATCTAAATGTTTGGATCGATGATACTGTGTAGGGTCAAACATGTCAGAAAGAACAGTGCTTTCTCAGTCGTTACATTGTAGGCCCTCATTTTTTACAGTTTTGGATCAGTCCCACCGTTCTCATCAGTGTGTTCAGATACAGCAGATGGCTGTTTGTTTACCTGCTCAGCAACAAATGGTAGACTGAAAAGGTTAGACAACAACAAAGTGAAGCACTTACCAGTTGAAGAGACAGATATTTCCCTCAAGAGTTCGAAAAGTTGAAAGGAGAATGAATGTTGTACTTACATTCATCAAGTTTCCTAACACGTTCACCAAAGCTACTTTATAAGCTGATAATATGTCTGTGTTGAGTTCACAATTTGTTACACTGCCTCCAAATGCCAAAAAATCCATTGATAAGGCTTTAAGAATTGTTAGATAATTAGCCACTCAGGAAATTATCACTGTTATACTGCAGTAGTATAACCTAGTGAACTGGCAACCTACACTTGCCATCTGGTAACGAGCTATTGTGACTTTGTTTTCCAGAGCCAAGTATGAGCCAAGAGTATTGGAATAAATAATGCACCAGTGAATGTGAGTGTTTTTCAGGTTTTAGAGTGTGTAACTAAAATATTCATTAAGCAAAAATGAACCAAAGGCTCAGTATTTGTCATTTATATGAACCCATTCTTCAGAGGTATTAGTCATATCCCACAGGTGTGAAAACACAAAAGGCAACAAGCTGGCTGAGGAGCAGCAGTTTATGTTGTGTTGTCTTTAGGTGTCACTGTGTGAATGCAATATTTGCTCTCAGCTACATAGACTCATATTAGGCCCCAGTGGAGACACTGAACAGGAACCATCATTAGATGGAATAGATTCTTTGACAACCATTAATCGACCGTCTATTCGACTGTCATTTTAGGAAGTGTAGATTGAGTATTGTTAATCTAGTGACATCTATCTTTTCCATTATCATGAAATCACCCTTGTAAGTAAAAAGAAATCAATGTGCCAGTGCTTCCAGCAAAACTCACACTTTCATTTTGTACAGCCTTAGCTTACCCTTGGACTTTTTGTACCAATAGAAAACAGCGTGTGAGTCATACAATAATGACACAGTCTCACGTGTAGGCTGACAAGGATTTTGCTCTTATAAGGCTGCATGTTGCAGCCAGGAAGTTCTGCCCTGTTTCCATGGCAACTCAGTGATGGAGCACCTCTTAACTCTTGTGATTGTAAAATCTGATTTGTCTTCACTGTCAACAGAAAAGCATGCATACTGCATGTACTACTATTACTAATGTGGTACAATAATTGTATGCGGTATAAACAGACCTTTGTTTTCCAATACAGATTTACATTGTACAGAAATGTGACATGGGGCAGGAAATGTTTCTATTGTAACGTTCAAACAAAACTAAAAATGTGTGTTCTTCCAGAGCTCCCACATCCACCTTATTGATGCCCTGATGATGGCCTATATAGTGGAGATGATCAGCATAGAGAAGGTGGTGTCCAGCGTTAAGCGATTTTCGAACTTCAGTGCCTCTAAGGAGCTGCCTTTTGACCTGGAAGACGCAATGGTCTTTTGGATCAACAAGGTGAAAACCATACCTGGGTGTTAATGTGTGCATTTGCGCATTCATGTATTCGTTTTGACCGCCGGTACCTTTGTTGCTACAGGTGAACATAAAGATGAGGGAGATCGTGGAAAAAGAGCTGAAAATGAAGCAACATCTGCTGGAGTCGCCCAGCCACCAGAAGGTAACACCCCGAGTGTCTCTTCGTTTTATTCCCTTGCCTCACACTCTCTTTGTCTGTCTCTTGTCACTGCTTCAGAAAAACCCCCTCTCTGTTGAATAGTGTCTTTCTTTAGTGATGTTGTGGCCTTTGTTTATTGTCCTTCTGGCTGGGATTTTACATGCATGCTTCACTTCCTCACTGGGTGTATTAACTAGGTGTGTAGGTTTAGTCATTGGATCTTGTTTGCATTATGATCTGATGAGCACCTCACATCACCTTTTGATCACAGATTCATGTATTTATTTATATTTTTTGTTTGCCGTTCCAAGTGTGGTCAGCTTATGTCTGACACTGTGTGTCCTCTTCCTTGGACAAAATTGAGAAAACCCCCAACAACCCCACCTGGGGCGCAATTTTAAAATTATTGTGTCCTGTCCACAGGTTTTCATCACAGGGCAAGTATGTTTCTAGATAGTGGAAAGGGTCATGTTCCAAGAATATAAGAACTATGTTGATGTTGGGACATGTCATACTGTTAAAGTACTGTCAAAAATATTTATAGTGCAACATAAAAAAGGCTATAAATGATATTATTAATGGATTCATGTTTAATTTTACTTAACTTTTGTTTTTGAATTATAGTTCTAATAATTTGGGCGGCTTTGGTGGATGTAAACAGAGTATAATTTTGCCAAATTAGCAAAATGTAAAGGTAAAAGTATGCTGAATTTGCTTCTGTCGTTCCTGTTTGCAATGTACCCATAGTCCAGTGATACAGTACAGACTTCTATAACTGGGTTACTGTGACATGGAAGAAAACTTAAAAACACAATAATAGCAAGTTCTGGAGTTATAAGGAGCTTCTTTTTGTGGAGTGGATTTATGGACATTTATTTGTGATGGAGATCGGAGATCCTCTTGAGGTGTAAGACGCAGTTTGTCATGTCCACGTGGTCACATTTGATTGAGTTATGACTCTGCGCTCCTCCTTCAACTCTCCCACGCCTCCCTGGGGAGGCACGCCACACAGTTTGACAACCTCTGTACTATGTTGACTCGGCTTGGTTCCCCTCAACCAGTCAGAAAGGCCTGTATTGCTAAAAGACAAGTGTAAGCACAGTGTCTTGATAAGCTGCATCTTAAAGGGTAATGGGGTTGCATCAGTCTGAAATAATGTGACAACATGAAGTGAAATCATGAATTGATAGTTACAATAACGCCTGTAGACATTCTCGACTCTCTCTGCCTAACCCTCTCCAGTTGTCTTTAAGATCAGATCTATCTCCATGGCAACAGGGGATGATCTGATTCCTTGTGACTTTATATGACCCTTGACTTGTCTGCTGCTCTTCCTCTTTGTGTCTCCCAAAACTTTCCTTCCCTTCCTGCCTCTTGGATACTAGTCTCCCTCCAAATGGTACTGGAAGCTTGTACCTGTAAGTGCAACCGCTAGCAATCTCCTGTGTGAGTGTACAGTGTGTGTATGTCTGTTTGAGATGTGTGTGTGTGTGTGTCAGTGTCAGATTATATATACTGTCAATGGTCAGATCAGACAGCACAAAAAGAAGACAAACTAAAAATAATAGCTTCTGAGATACACAGAAAAGCCTGAGGTAAATTAAAGCCAATATTCCAGACAATGCAGTGATGTATAAATTCAGTGATGTGCACAGTAAGGATGACACAGTGCCCCTTAGTGGCAAAGGAAAAAACAGCAAGCTCATAAGACTTTTTTTCCCCCTGCTCGTTTGCTTTTACTTTGCATGAAACCCTTTAGCAATTGCTTCAATTTTCAGCAGAGCTTTCACATTCATCACCTTCCCTCCCCCAAAAAACAATAACACACTGCTGCACTTTTTCATTTCTTTTTAACCGGCAAATGCAGTTCTGACTCATTGTTGCCATAAAGCAACCGGTCTGGAGTCCAGTGTTTAAAGTCCACTCATCCGGTCACGGCTTGCCTCATTTCATTAACTTCCTCCGAATCATTTCTTTCTTCCCTCACCAGCCTGATATATTTCATGCTCTGGCCCACTGCTTATTGGAGCCTGTGGAGTTCTCTCGCGTGGTAATGTACTCACCATTGACCTTTTTCTTAATTTCATCTAGACCTTTATTGTTTTCCACCTTTTTTTAAAATCATTTATCACATGCTGCAAGTACTAAACCCAGCTTAATTAGATTATTAGACCTGAAAATGGAACATCCTTATCAGTCTTTATGAGTGAAGGCACACGTTATTTCACCACATGACAGGTCAGATGCACATGGTACTCCTCTAAAAGACTTTGCAAAGCTCCAGCTGACCTAATCTGATAAAGACCATGAAGCACTGGATGCCAGTTACAGACACTTACTCTACAGTATATGTGTTAAAGACAGACACAGGATAATTTGTGAGAAATGTTGTTTGTATGTGACAAGTGAGCATGTGACTGAGTGTTCTGATCAGATAAATGTGTGTACTTTGTTTAAATTCCTGCCCTCTCTTGCTGTGTAGGTGCGTTACCGCAGAGATCACCTGTCAGGTCGAACACTTCAACACTTCCCTCTGCTGGACGACCTGTTGAAGGATGTGTGCGACGGCACGGCTCTGCTGGCTGTGATCCACTTCTACTGCCCAGAACTCATTAGACTGGAAGGTACAGTAACATTGGACTGAATAAAGATATATGATACTGTAGTTGTTCCCCTGAGCCACACCCCACCCCTCTGTTGCTGTTGTTGTTATATGACCCTTTAAAAGAATAGTTTGACATTTTGTGAAAT